ATTATTTTTAGCACAGAATTCAAGCCATATTTGTAACTTTAGTGAATTGTTGAGTCCTTGAGTATTATGAGTAGCAATGTTAAGATGATTCTTAATGTTTATAATAAAATTGTTTATAAAAGTGTTTGATAATTTAGTTGAGTTGTTGTTATCTATTTGGGAGGATTGTAAATCTGGTTTTAATTGTATAAAGCTCATTGTTGAGGGGAGTAGTTGTTAAAAATATTCCAGTGAAGGTCAGGTAGGTTGGAAAGTTCAAAGAGTTGTGAAGGTAAACTTTGGAAAGAGAAGTGATTATGAAGTTGTGAAATGATGTCTTCTATCTGTTCATGTGTTGTAATTGGTAGTTGAATAGTTTGAGATTAATCTAATTCTCTTAAAGTTGTTTGGATTTCATTAATACTTGAAGGAAGGTTTGGTTTAATATTTTCTTTTCTTGTAGTATTATTGATTGAAATCCATTCTGCAAGCAGTTGATAGAAGAAGTAGTGTGTACAGAGTTGTCTAGCAGTTTCTACTAAGATTTTAGGGCTTGTAATAGAAAGTGTTAGATTAAGCTCAATAATCAAAATAGGATCTGTAGGTAATTGAGGTTTGTTTGTAAGGTTAACAGTCATATATTCTAGTGGTAGTAGGATGTTGAATTTGTATATATCTTGTATTTCTGTTAAGAATTTCTTTGCCAGATGATAATCAGTTATAGAAAAACTGTAAGTAATGGAAGTCTTGATTTGATTTGGTTCTTTTGGAAGTGGTTTTTTTTGGATAAAGTAGTCGTTTGGAATTTTGTAAAAGCTATAATGCTCTCGGAGAATGTTTACATAGTGTTTAAAATCAGTTGAATTTTTGGGGTTGCAAGGAAAGAGGTATCTCACAGCTGAATTAAAATTTTGTGATGTTGATGATAAGGGTTCATGAGTAGGTAGTAGGTTAAAATAATTAGATGATATACGGTCAAAGTCATAATATTTGTGCAATTTTTGTCTGTACTCTGCTAGATAGAGTAATTCAGATCGGCTTGTTATTAAAAATATTGCACATGTTTCTGCATTTAGATTAATTGGATTATTAGGAAGAGGGATGATAGAATTAGCAAAGTAGCTGTCATTAAGTTGATCGAAAGTGTAGATTTTATAAAGTGTAAGCACTGTTGCTCATATAAATTTTCGATCCTCAATTGGAAGTAGAAAAAAAAGTATTTCTTTTATGTTTTGGTCAATTAGGTCTAAAGAAGTTGGTAGTGGAATGAGAAGTTGAGAGTGTGCTTCATTTAGAAGTTTTCATGTTTCTTCAAAAGTGAGTACACAAGGGATTTGTACAAGGTTGAGGCAGTAAAATATGTGTCTTGTACATTCATAAGGGCTTGTTGTAAGAAAATCTAAGTTTCTAATATAATCTAAAGCAAATTTGATTTTAAGTTTCTTGTAGATTTGGTCTCTATTAACTTTGTTGATCAAAATAGCGTTATGTAATTTTTTGTATTTTTTGAGAGCAATTTGGTATAGTAAGTTGAATTCTTTTTGATGTTGTGGAGCTGTAGCTTTTGTTCTTGTAAAGGAACGAAAGAATGCTGTATCTAGGTAATTAAATTTTTGGTTAATAGCATATGAAATATTATTATTTGGAAGAATAGTTTGAATTTTATGATTAAAGAATTCCAAAAGTTGTTGTCTATCATTAAGGACTTCAATTATTTTATTATTGTTCCAAGTTTGAAGATCAAAGTTAAGTACTCGTCTTGCAACAAAGGCTTTAGTTACAGAATTACACCAATTGAAGGTTGTATTGTTTTTTGGTTTTGATAAGTTGGATGTTAATGCTTTGCTGTATGATTGCTTGATAACTTGTTGATAATCTTTGGAAGTATTAGAGATGGTGTCTATGTTGTCAGTATGCATAGTTAGCATAGAGGTTGATTAAGTTGGTAAAGTTTCTGTAAGTATAATTAGTTTGGGGTTCTATGGATTGTTTTCTGAAATAAAACTATTGAGTACAGATGCTAAATATGATGGATCAGGTAATGTGATAATGAGGTTTTGGGGCATAGGAATATTTGCTGTTTTGGGCATGTTTGTTTTAATAGCTATAGTATATAACGTCATTTGAGATTTTGTAAAAGATGAACTGGATTGCCCACTTTTTGTTAAATTTTTTCGACGGAAATAGGATGTAAAAGAAACAGAAGAGTTAGAGTTGTTAGTTTTATTTTTTTTTAAAAGAGGAAAGTTTGTTTCTAGTTCTGCATTTTTTTTAGGTCTTTCAATTGGAAGAGCTTGAGATATCACTGGTGTAGCTTAGTTATTCAGTTGAACTGGAGCCCTATAGGGATCTATTTATGAAAGTAGCAGTACTGAGTTAGTGTTAAGGGAAGTTTTGGAGTCTTGTAGTTTAGTGGTTGAGGTTCTTTGTCTTTTGGCTATGTTGAATAGGTCTTAGGTATTCAGAAAGTTTATTTTCTCTCTTTTATAAGTATTTTTTGTTCTATTTAATTAATATGTTGATATTTTAGTACCAGTTTTGTTTACTTTTTGTTTTTTTTAATAATCTATGAAAAGAGTTTTTTCTTCAAATAATATCTATTATTACTACTTCTTTTATTTAATTATATAAATCTTTATAACTCTTATTAAATTCTTCAATGAAAGCAACATTACATAGAACTTTCTACAAAATACTTTATTAAGCAAATATGTAAAGCCTATATATTAGCTATATAGATATTATAAAAATGTAATAGTAAATGGTTATACTTTAATTAAGATATTGATTAAAGATCTACTTGGCTTTATTTTAATCACAATTAAAAACCTTTATACAATTTTACTAATTTTAGACTTAACCAACTAAAATCCTTTAAAATCAAAATTCTCTTTAATAAGTTGTCAACTTATTTATTATTTTATACTATCTACCCAACTCAATATTCAAATACTATGTGTTTTTATTGTAATTTATCTAACTTCTATTCCTACTAGCACATTTATACTAATCTATTCTTGCTTAATCAAATTATTCAAACTTCTATTAATTAAATTATTTTTAACAACTTGTCTAATCTTAATAATTATCAAAAACATAATTTAATTAATAAAATTCTATATAACCCAGTTCTCAATTATTTATAAATTTTATCTAACACATTTTATTCTAACCTTATTCTTAAAGAACTTATTTCAAAATTATTTATATTAATAGTTCAAAACTCTGACATGTTATATAAAACTGCTTTTTAAGTTATTATTAATATTTTTCTTAATATTAATAAACAATTATATGAACAATTATAAAAAACATATTGTATTCACTTTTCTAACTAGAAAAAACAATAAAATAGACCTTAATCTCAACCAATTAATTAACTCTTAACATTATTCAACTCAGCAACTAAGCATATATGTTTTCATAAATACTATACTTATTCATGACTCTGTAAACTTTCAGATCAATTATTTACTCATTCTAATACATATCCTTCTATTAACCAAATAATTCATAAAATTAACATTTGGTCTATTTTATGAATTAAATATAACATATCATCAAATTTTATACTAAATATTTAAATCTAAGTAAGCTTTAATTAGTCTAATAGGTTTAAGTTACAGATAATTAGTCTGAACTTTTATTCTTACATGTAATTTTTAATTTATTTGTTTTGTACAAATAATAGTAGCTGTATAATTAGCAGTTTAATGGTTAGCCCTAACTGCAAGTGTTGACTTCGATTATAGCATATATACATGTAACTATTTTAAATTATTAATAAAGATATAAGCAAGACCTCACCTTAATACTAAAAAAAAAAATAAATAAATAAATATAAAGTAATAAAAATTATCATAATTGTATAAAAATTTCAGGCTATATGTATTTTGATTTTCTGAACAACTTTACTTAGTAGCATATAATTGATTTGCTTAATAAAATTTTATTTTGCTATAGAGTTTTTATTATAAATTAATTAAAAAATAAGTTATTATAAAATGCATTTATGCTCCAGACTTATACTGGTTTGCAGTTCCTAGTTTATTATTATCTTTTTTAAGAATTTCGATTACTATACAACACTTCGTTTAGAATTTTAATTCTCGTATAAAGGCTTCAATTAGATTCGACTTTAGTTAACCTTTCGACCGAAGATTTAGTTTCAGAAATGATCGTCCTGAACCGAAAATTGATAAAATCCGAAACCGAAACTAAGTTCGAAACTTAGGGGGTTTCGGTCACATGTATAATACGTACCAGAAATTCGTGTTATATATTTCAAGCCTGCTTATAATTCAAAAAATTTGCTTATCATATAATTTTTTTTTTTGTCATTATCGTTGACTAAAAGTACTCGTGTAATGTATATTTTTGCCGTTGTGGCGCATTTGGCACACCAACCTGGTACACTTTCCGGATGCCACTTTTAATCAGGTTTGTGGCGCAACAAGAATTCTTTCAAGTTCGTTTATGTTAGAGAGGAATAGTTTATATAGTAAATTGTCTAACGAAAACCTTTTATTAGGGCATTAAAGGCATTAAAGGTGATTTTTTATGCTGATTTTGAGAAGTAGGCGATTTTTGACAAAACAAACGTTTGAATTTTCTATGTTACGCCTGAACTTGAAATCTGATTCGTAGTTCAGGAAATTTACGCCACAAACCTGGCACACATTGATTTTGATGTGACGAACGTCACTTAGACGTAACCATACGTCTTCCGAGAAATTTCGTATGGTGCGCCACCATCGACACGGTTTGGCCACGACTGAGCCATTTGTACTGATTGTAAATTTATCAAAATTTCCTTAGATCTGACTCTTTCGTACAGACAATTTTTTATTTTCATTCGTTATCTTCCTTTCATATTAGCAAAATGCCGCCAAAAAAACAGCAACAATCAGAAAAGTCAAAACAAAAAGAGAAGCAAAAGATCGTTGAAGATAAAACCTTTGGCCTAAAGAATAAGAAAAAGTCTGCAAAGGTTCAGCAACAAATTAAACAAATTCAAAATCAAGTGATGACCGCGGGAAATAGAAAGGTTCAAGTATGTTATCGAGAATTCTGTATTCGTCTGGTTGATATATTCGGGTTAACATTATTTTTAAATTAATAAATTTACGTTTCATATGAATGTAGAAAGAAAAAGAAGCTGAAAAACAAGCACTCGCTGATAAAAAAGCAGCCGAACAAAAAAAGAAGGAGGAGCTTGCTGAGCTATTCAAACCGGTTCAGACACAGAAGGTACCGTTTGGTGTGGATCCCAAAACTATTCTTTGTCAATTTTTCAAGGCTGGACAATGTCAGAAGGGAGACAAATGTAAGTTCTCTCATGATCTGAATATAGAGAGAAAAGTTCAAAAAATCGATCTATATACTGATGCAAGAAACGAAGAAGAAAAGAAAGATGGTAAGATTTTATAGCTTTATATTTATTTTATTTGTTGATCGGGAGGGTTCTTAATTCATAATGCAATTGCACATTAAATGTGAAAATGATGTTTCTATTTAAGATACAATGGATAAATGGGACCAAGAGAAACTTGAGCAAGTTGTAACATCGAAACATGGAAATCCCAAAACAACTACAGACATAGTATGTAAATACTTTTTGGAGGCCATTGAAAATCAAAAATATGGTTGGTTCTGGGAATGTCCTAATGGAGGTGAGGAGATTCAAAATTTGTTCGTATTAACATTTTCATCCTAGTCCATTATGTTCATTTATTATTGATGTTGGTATTAAAATTCATTATATTAATTTACATTCACTTGAATAATATAACAGGAAAGAATTGCAAATATAGACATGCTCTTCCGCCTGGATTTGTACTAAAGAGTAAAGCGCAAAAGAAAAGTGAAGAAGAAGAAGCCAATCAAATTACTCTCGAAGAGTTTTTGGAAACAGAGGTTAGTTACAACTATAGAGTCTTTTATGTGCGACAGATATTTATCTAACTATAATTCATCGATACGTTGTGAAGCGCCATGCATTGGGTTCAAATCTCACACCTGTCACGCTTGAAAGTTTCGCTGAATGGAAGAAAAATCGGAAAGCTAAGATTGAAGCTGAGGAAGAGCTTAAACGTGCCGCAAAAGAAGCTGCATTCAAAGCTGGTAAAGCACAAGGAATGTCGGGTCGTGATCTATTCACTTTTAATCCTGATCTTGTCAATCAAATTAATGATGATGATGATGATGGTGATGAGTTCGATTTGTCTGGATACCAGCGCGATGATAATAATAGAGAGGATGAGCAAGATGTTGAAAACCTAGTACATGAGCAGGATGATGATGATGATGGTGATAATATTGCCTGCGGTGAAGGCAAAAGTAGTGTTGAAAATGATATTTCGCACAAAACGAACAATTCTTCTTCATTAGTCACTGTGGATGATGTTGAAGTTAAAGAGGACCTGTTTGCAGAGGAGAATTTAGATGATTTAGACGACGATGATGAATAACAGTCACAGGACATGTTTTTATACAGGGGTTTCTATTACTGTTACTTATAAATCAAATGGGTTGACACGTTAAATTTTATATGTAAATTTTTACTAAAATTTAATTTATTTAAAAAAATACATATAAAATTTTTTGGAAATTTTAAACATATTTTTTATTTTATAATCTTTTGCTAAAAGTTTTGTTTCTTAATTATTAGTAGTTTAAAAAGAATATTTCATTAAAGTTAATGTATTTTTTGTTTATATATAATTTTTGTAAGTTAAATCAAATAACTGATTTATTTAAAGTATTGTAATTATATGATTGGTTAAAATAATCTTTTACATCATGCATCAATAACCATATACTCATTAAATTATTAATCTAAATAAATTCTCTTAGGCCATGCAAAATTAATTAATTGGTTTTCATAACCCGGCCGAGTCAAATTTTAAAAACTTGTAAAAAATTTTTTTTATATGTATAAATTTTTATATATGAAATTAAAAAAAAAAGCCGGCCGGCCGGCCGGGTTTGTTTAAAAAGTTTCATGTTATGAAAACCAAGATATTAAATTTATGTGGCCTTAATTGTATTATTACAATTTTATTTTTATTTATTTATTATTATTTTTTATCACCCGACCAAGAAATTGGATGGCTAATTTTAAAGTTATATTGTAACATTACTATTTTTAATCATTCTAATCTTAAAATATTTTAAAAAATATCACATAAAACACAAAATAGATTATGAAAAATAAACAAACTTTTTAACCAAAATTTTTATGATACTACTAGGTGCTTCGACCCGTTGTTAAACAACGGGTAGTGTAATACAAAATCACGTGACGAGAGACGGATTGACATCTAAATTTTTATAATATAGACAAGAAAAAGTAGAGTTAGTCTTGCAGACTAAATAATTCAATAAAAGACACCTTCCTACCTTATTGATTATCATCATTATTAGAGCCGCTTGCAGTATATGTTTCATTATCAACTTTTTTCTCATCTTCATTCTCATCTTCATTCATATATTCATCCATATACGCATTTTCAAATACAACCTTAGTACTTTCATCATCTTCATCCCCAGAGCTGTCACCGAATGCATCAAATAATTCTTTGGATGTTATAAATTGTTTATTTAATGGCATAGAAACATCAACACCGCTTGTAACGTCACCCGATTGCAATGCAGAAAATTCATAGGCTTCTCGCGAAAAGAAACTTCGACCACCACGTTTATCCCAAAAGCGTCTTTTTGCAAAATATGCAATTCCAGCAAATATGAAAGCCGCGCCCATTCCAAATATTGCAAAGATCCAAGTACTTGATCTTGATTCGGATACAATACCTGACTGTGTTGGCAAAGCTGGTAATACTGGAGATTCTATTACTGGGGATGGGGAGGGTGAGGGTGAGGGTGGTGGACTCGTTGATGTAACAATTTCACCCCAAAGTTTGAGCATCCAATTGTTAAAAATTCCAGAATGTTCAGGGTTTTGTCTATCCCTCACTTGGATAACCCATTCACCGATTGGCGATTCACCCCTAAAAATTAATCAATAAATTAATCAATAAATTAATCGATAAATTAATCGGTGGTTAAGATTATTTATAGTAAATTATATCATGGACAAATAGTGCCTACCAATGTATTACACTCATGAAAGTCCAATTGGTAAGACCACCTTTATATTCATCATATCTCCTCGTAGCACCAAGATGAGACACTGTACCATACGGACTTATTAAGTCTACTTCAATATCACCTCTACGAGTATGATCAATATTTATGGTGACAGTGATGTGTTCCAGACCAGAAAATTTGGCGTTGTCCAAATCTTTCTGGGTCACATTTACACTACTTACAATACCACTATCAGTAAACGGTATTGATTTATTGAGAACAATAATAGGCATTTCTATATAAACTTGACTTCCAAGGTTTTTATGTGTTTTAGCATTTTGTACTATTCTGTACGCATCTAATTTTCCATAACCCCATTTATGACTATATAAACGACCAGCATAATTGCGTATCCACTCTTTTTCATTTAAATTGAATGGAACAGCACTGATCATTGTTAAATATTGAAGATCTCTCCACGAGAGATCAGGTCTATAATGAATAATATAATATATCAATTAAATCTGTCAAAGAAGAAGAAGGTATATAAAAATAACATACCTAATTTGTAACACTAGTGAAAAGACACCAGTAGCAATTGGTGCAGCAGCAGATGTACCTCCATGCATATTAGTGCAACTCTGTTTACCGACATCAGTTGTATACTAAATTATTAAACATTAAACATGGGTGTTATTAATAAACCTAGTAAGTGTATCGATAATCACATGATAAGAAAACAAAAAATATATTACTATATAACTTCCACTTCCGCTACTGTAAGTTGATATTAAAAGAGCCGAACATTTTTCCGCATAATATGGGTGTGAATGTGTGCGATCGACAGCCCCCACAGTGACTGTATATATACTGTTTGTGTAACCATCGAAGTTACAATTGTCATCAACAGCACCACCATTACCTGAAGCGAAAACGAATATACTGCCTTTGCCGCCACGACCTTCTTTTATGCCCTTTATAATGGCTTGAAGAATAACTCCTTTTGGAGCTTCAGTTGATTGACCATCATCCGGTGGACCCCAACTACATGAATAAATTTGATTCTTTTGATACGCGTAATTTAACGCTTCAGCTTCATCAGCGTCAGAAATTTGCCCGGACAAGATTCGAATACCTTTTAAGAAAGAAAAGTTAATCAACAATACTTTTTAGACAACTATACATATATATATATATATATGATTCGATATTGAACATAAATCGTTTACCAGCAATTTTTGCATCTGGAGCGACACCAATTCCACATACATCATTTTTTACAGCAGCAATTTCACCAGCACACCGCGTTCCATGGGTATCATCAGACAAACGAGGTAAAGGTATTGGAACGCCATCATTGAAATCATAAGAACCTTCAGCAAACTTTAAGAGGAAATATGAGAAAGTGATATAAAAAAAAAATTTTTATTTAATTAAAAATAAATTATAAGGTACATACAAAATTACCCGCTAAATCATCACTGGTCGCATCTAAACCATCATCGACAATAGCAGCATAGACACCTTTTCCAGTTATTCCTTAATTATAGAAATAATTATTGTCTAAGGAATTAGTACATTAACGGTCAAAATGAAATCATGATCCGAATAATAAAATAAGTCGAGTAAATATATACCTTCTTCCCATACACCAGTTACATTTATGTCATTGTGTTCAATGGGATTAAGCTATTTTCAAAAAGCAATTTAATATGTAACTAATAAAATATTTAATTATATAAATATACAGAAAAAGCACCGATAATTACCAAATGCCATTGATATTCAAAACCCGGATCAGTAATTCCCAAAGAGTCTGCAATAGTGATTAGACCAGTTTCATTTTTAGGAGAAGGAATTGGAGGAGGGGCTCTTTTATGCCTTTTTCTTAAAACTTGTTTGTCAACAGAAAGAATGCTGTCTATTATTTGCATGGACCTTTTTTTACTTGAAGAATTGGATCGGCGTAAGTTTTTAAGTTGTTCATATCGAGCCAAAACGCGGTCGTGAGTCTCTTCAGATTCGGAATCGGAACGAGTAACAAGGCTTTTTTGAAAGCTGAAAATGTGATAGTTGTCAAGTACACCTACTTGCCCTTCATATTGGACGCCTAACAGTTGTTCCACGTCTTTTGGTGTAGCAAATGAATCATCTATAACTTCTATAATATAATAGTGATATTTTTCATAATTACGTTTTTTTGGAGTAGTTATTGAAGAGGATGTTGCATGTGAAAGATCAAAAAAAACTGAAAGTAATGATAGGCACACTAATAAATGTTTTATCCATATAAATGCCATTGTAGATTTAAGTGATAGAAGAAATTAGAAAGTGAACGGATAAAATGATACGAATAATAAAATATTTTTTAAGCATCTTTATTTTCCGTGTCAAAATCTTATTGATCATATCTTTCAACCCAGCCACGTTAAATAAAACACGTTGAAAAGGAATATGTGTATCAATAATAAAACTATAAACGAATGTTATTGGTTGACATTACTAAGACTCGTATTACAATGTTCCCAGCCACTTTACTTCAATACATATGTACATGCGCAACTGGTTGCTTCGAAAATCAAAATAGGACCACGTTGTTCTGTTAAAAGAGCTGTGCGTTAACGAATAAAATCGATCAAAAATGTTGTAACAAAGAGATTTTTTTATATTTGAGCCTTATTAAATTCAGGTAAATCATTACATTTAATATAATTGAAGGTTGCTTTTAATCGGTAATATTCATATATAATTTTGTCAATATGATGATTAATAATTTACAATATGATTTATTTGAACAAAAAAGTACATTAATATCGGTACATACGTACATATGTACATATTTAATTTTATTGAATTTTACTGAATCTTTTAATTCACATTAATAGAAGTTAAATCATTAACACTAAGTAGATTAAGTATCGACAAGATAAGCGATACGTAATAGATATGTGACAGTTGGGTTATCAACCAATCAGGATCGACCATACATCATTTCCATACTTCGCATATCTCCAACTAGCCGATCAAAATATACTTAAATCAAACTTCTCTAAATTCACGCTCTTAAGTGTGCATTTAAATTATGTATTTTATTGGTCAAATCTTAGGTGCATGTATATCTAAGTCACAGAAAGCAAGGATGGCAAAGTGTTTTTTAAAATCAATTTTTTTATATCGATATTACTTTAAGAAGATTTTATTTGTTTTAAACAAATATTAAGCATCATAGTATAAAAACGCTTGCATCTGTTTTTTGTAAAGGTGAGAGTGATCTTACATAAGAAATAAATGTCATGGCTGAAGCTAAAATTAACTAATTAGAGACGTTAGTTTTAGCTTCGCCACTGTCACAAATGATTTAACCCATTTTTTTAAAATATAAAACAAAATAAAAACAGTTATTTTGATTTTTTTAAAATTATCTCTAGCACTAAGTCCTGGGCTTAGGTCCAAGTGTGCATTCGGTGAACTCAGGGAAGTTTAACTGTATTTGAAAAATTAAATAAAAATCACTGCTGGTTAGATTTGCATCACTACCAATCAGGCTACAGGATCGAGTGTAACGTGTAAATCGAAGTGATTTATGAATTTTTAAAGTCACTTCTTAGAATCTCGTCTATGAAACTGCCCTTTTCGTCAAAAAAAAAACTTGATCAGGGGGTCTTCTAATTTTAACCCGGCTGCTGTTATTTTAAAAATTTTCTAGAATTAAAGTTTGATATCTTGAAGTAAAACTTGAAATAAATTTTTTTTTTGATTTCTTACAGTATAGATGGCCCTTTAATTAAATATATGGGCTAGGTGCTGGTAAAAGGGACCAAATTGACAAAAAATAGGTTTTGCGGAAATCTGATTTTTTATATTATAAAATCTATATTAACTCAGAGAAATACAGATTTTAAAAGATTGAATTAGTTAAGCTTAAAAAAGTTTTGAAAAAATTGTCAATTTGGTCTCTTTTTCAGTACCTAGTCCATTTTATTAATAAACTAGAAAATCAGAATCTGATGTAGGTCCGAAGCGAAAAATAGAAGCTTTTATTGCGCTTTGCAAAAAGTGTGACCTCTGCAGATCATCGTGTAATGTAAATTCTCGGGAAATTAGATGATTTTTCGATTTTAAGAGAATTATACAGATTTTTGAATATATGATTGATAGAAAATCTAGAATGAAATTCTTAATTATCGTTATGCATTATTATAACCTGTGCCAGAGATCCGTAAAAATTTGTGTATAACGATAAATTAATACATATTAATACAAATTTAGGTTGATTATGCAAATTCTTGGGTAAAATTCATGTGATATTTTATAATATATACGAAATTTGATTGGTCAATCATGCCAGATTGGGGTGTCGATTATTTTATTATATGATCAGATTTTTAACAGTAAAATTAAAATAATTAATCGAATGTAATTTTACTTTATTTTAATTATAAAGAAAAGTGCGAAATTCTAAAGGTATCACATAAATATTGCACTTATTTTTCAAATTTTTTTCAATTGACAACACTGTTTGTCAGAACTGTTTCAAAGTAACTATGTTTTATTTTTCATTAAAGTTCTATTAAGTTTTGATTTATACGTTAAAATAATTTTTTTCGTCCTAATTAATGAATATTCAAGTATTCTATAAAGCGAATGTTCGAAACCAACTTATTAATAAAAAAAGTAAAAACATAGCTTTATTCTTTGACTTTAAATAAATAATTAGTGAAAATTTTAAGGCAATTACACGGCTATATAATAAGTTGATACATTTTAAAAATATCTAAAATATTGATTTTTAAGTATCAGTATATGGGAATAAATCGTAAATCATAATTAGTAATATAATATCTATGTAATAGATTAATAGTGTAATATAAAGTCTAAAGCCTGACAGATTTATGATGTAATCGTTAAAGCCTATTGTGACAGATTTATGATATAATCATTAAATAAATAAGAGATTCCGTAAGATCGAATTTTAACTTCTGATATTTCTTGAATAAAAAACAACCGTAATTAATAAATAGTGTTGTGTCTGGTAATAAGAAGAGAAAGTCATTATTAAGAATATCATGAAGGTTAGAGGTAAACACATAATAAAATAAAATCAAAAACTTGTACAAATCATTATTTGATAATTAGAGAAATTCATTTAAGACAAATCAATCATAATAATAGACAAAATGTCACCAGTATTTAAACAAAAACTGAAAGCATGTAAAGCAGGACAAGCATCAGTAGATGCATGAAAAATTGCTTAGCATAAAAAAAGAATTCAAGATATTAATAAAGTATTAAATAAAATGGAATAATAGTAAATTATAATTAGTTTATCAAAACATTGTTCAATCAATTAATAACAAACTAATAAATCAAAAAACAAATTAATTGATAGGGTTAAACAACTGCCTAATGATTAATTAAAATCTGCAGTTCATTTATTAGATATTTTAAAGGATTAAATAAGAATAATTTACTTTTATTATTCTTGTAAAATAAGATTCTAAATTTTATAAATTCATTTTTTTATAAAATGAATCAGAATTCAGATTCATTAATTTAAAAAAATAAAATATTTTAAAAATAAATTACTTAATTAGAATATTCAAATATTAAAAAAATCATAGTTAAATAATTAATAAGAACATTGTTATAATATAAATTTAAAAATATAATCATATAAGGTGTGGTAACCTAGTGAAGCAGATAGGTTGTCAACCCTCAAGTGGCAGATCTAAGGTTCAATTCCTACAGATGACAAATTTTAAAAATTATACCTGTGTTATGATAACTGTCTCTTGCTGATCAGTTAGATTTTGGGCATCTGTAATCTTAGATACATCAAGTCAGGTCCCACCTGATATTGGGAGCTCAGAGCATCTATGTGAAATGTAATGTTACATGGTACATGTATATAGAAAAATGTAAAAAAACTGATGTCATATAAGGTTTTGGTACAAACTTATAATAAGACTATCAGATATAAAAGGCTAAGAAATTGAAGAGACAAAAACTCATTTGGAAATCCTGAATAAAGAAGTAGTACAAAGTTTTGATAGTATCATTAGACTGATGAAGTTCATGAAACATCTTTATAAGAACTGTCAGATAAATTGAATTACAAAGATGTATAGAGGAACACATAACCAACCAGGCTGTCGAAATCACCAAAGGAAAAGGATACAGAAATATATCATACCAGGCCATCTGGATTGGAAGTCTGGAGAGTCAGTTAGTTCCAAGTTGCAACTAATAGGAGATGATGATGAAGAAGTCAGAAAGATGGGTACTAGGGTTTAGGTAAACTTTACAAGAATAATAGCAGTTTAAGGGGTAACTCTGATTACAAGTGTTGATTTCAGCCATAGCATCAAACCAGGTTAGTGGTAAAAAGAAATATAGCTCACTCTAATAGGTTTATCTCAAGGATAAAAATAATCTAAAGATTATAGTCTTATAGTCGAATACGAATAAATCTGAGTTTGTAACCTGGTGAAATTAATACTAGAGTTAGATCTGAGGGTTTAAATAGAACATCTAAGCAAGGGTGTTAGGTACAGCAACTGGTGAGAAACCCTCAGACAGACTTCTTAAATAGGTAATAAAGAAAAGTTACATGTGTAAACAGTTGTATACTCATCTAATAGTTCATTATAGATACATCTATATAAAACATATACCTGTTATAAGTATTAATAAAAAGCTCAAACCAAAGAGGTTACCTTAATACTGAAAAAAAAAAAAATGTAATTATATATTAAAAATATATGTTGCAAATTGAAAATCAATACTTGCAGATTTTTAAAGTTTAAAGATAATCATTTAAGTTATTCTTATAAAAAACAAATATCAATATACAATTCATTTTATAAACTTAGTTATATAAGTATTATAGATTAATCAAATATCAATTCAAAATATTATTCAAGTTGTATATTTATTTTTAGATTTTTTTACTTAGAGAAGATTTATTATTATTGATTTTAACTTAATCTATTATTAAATAAAATAAAAAAATTAGTAAAATTTATGTAAAAATTACTTAATTAAAATAATTGTTTAGAATATTTTATTTTTAAAATAGTTATAAATAAATCAAACTCAAGGTCAATATAAAATATTTGTATTATATATAATGTTTTGCAATTCTAAAAATAATATATCAGATTTTCAAATATTAATAATAAAAAAATTAAATTTTTGTACTAAAAAATTAATTATATAAGTAATATTTAATATATTTAATAGTTTTAAATTAAATATATAGTAATGTTTTATATGTATATTAGATAATACTAATTATATA